AAAAAACAATGCAAGATTTGACTACTAATAAAGCTGTTTATTAATAATGTTGAGAAGTCTTCTGTAGCCAAAACAATTTCTTGGGCGTAACTATCTCTTTGGCGTATCGGGGGCTACTCACTCATAAGCAAACTATTGAAAACTTACTTGCGACAAGCTTGACTCTGTGAATCAGAGAAGCGAAGTAAAGTGAACTGTGCTTGACTCCGGAACAGGAGAAATCACTTGACTCTGATGAACAGAGAAGCAACTTGACTCGCTGATTCCAGAGAAGCCAGGAATGATAGGACTAGACTCTGTAAGAGTATAGAGAAGTACTTGACTCTAAGAGACTCTGACGGTTCTAGAGAAGTGACTTGACTCTGACACTGACTCACAGAGCAGCTAGTATAATACTAGGACAAACTTGACTCCAAGGTAACCAATGAGAAGACTCTGGACTCTGAACCGTTACAGAGCAGTGACTTGACTCATGAAAGGACCCTGTTAAGAAGTTTGACCCCAATTTACACACATCTAATATATTAAAATTTTTTGAATGACATGTATGAAACAAGCTAAAAATAAAAGGAGATTTTAAAATTGGGGGATGAAATTCCTCCGGAATTTAAAAGCCTTCCTCCGGAATTTAAAAGTTTGACCCCCATTTACCCATATCCAATATAGTAAATTATATTAATGACAACAATAAAGAAGCTAACAAAAAAAAAAAAATAAATAAATAAAAATTTTTAAATAGGGATTTTAAATTGATGGGGAGAAGAGTTAAAAAGTCAACATAAACCCCAACAAGAGTGAGTAGCCCCAACTAAAATATCATTAAAAATACAAACATTTGCAAATAAAGAAGAACTAAATACATTTGTAATAAAAGCTAAACAATGAACAGGTACATACAAGTTAAACATACAATCATCTTTCCTAAAGGTGATGAAGGGGATGGCGGGTGGGTAAGGCACAAAATAAAATGCTCCTCGTTCTCCTCAACGCTGAAAAACTTAATGGAACCAATACCAATACCCCTCTAAAGAGTAATTGATGATTGGTTAAAGATAAGGAAAAACACTCATTAGCATACTAATTTGCATAAAGATACGACACATAAATGAACAAACAGAAATAAGATAAATTACGATTGAAACAGGAAGCTAAAGAAGGAAAACAGTTTCTTGCATAAACTCAAATTTAATAAAATATTAAATTTTACATTTTATACAAAAAACAATGCAAGATTTGACTACTAATAAAGCTGTTTATTAATAATGTTGAGAAGTCTTCTGTAGCCAAAACAATTTCTTGGGCGTAACTATCTCTTTGGCGTATCGGGGGCTACTCACTCATAAGCAAACTATTGAAAACTTACTTGCGACAAGCTTGACTCTGTGAATCAGAGAAGCGAAGTAAAGTGAACTGTGCTTGACTCCGGAACAGGAGAAATCACTTGACTCTGATGAACAGAGAAGCAACTTGACTCGCTGATTCCAGAGAAGCCAGGAATGATAGGACTAGACTCTGTAAGAGTATAGAGAAGTACTTGACTCTAAGAGACTCTGACGGTTCTAGAGAAGTGACTTGACTCTGACACTGACTCACAGAGCAGCTAGTATAATACTAGGACAAACTTGACTCCAAGGTAACCAATGAGAAGACTCTGGACTCTGAACCGTTACAGAGCAGTGACTTGACTCATGAAAGGACCCTGTTAAGAAGTTTGACCCCAATTTACACACATCTAATATATTAAAATTTTTTGAATGACATGTATGAAACAAGCTAAAAATAAAAGGAGATTTTAAAATTGGGGGATGAAATTCCTCCGGAATTTAAAAGCCAAAAATGAGCGAGTAAATGAGCTTACGAGCGAGAGCCCCCAATTGATAAGGGATAAAGGTTAAGAAACAGTCATATTGAGTTGAGCCGACTGTAAAGTGGCTGGATTAGTATGAATGTACCGAATAAAACAATCTGATGACCATCGTCCCAAGACTTTAATAACATGGTCTTGGACTCCGGCCGCTGCTGCAGAAGTGGCGGCACCAATTCTGAAAGAATGACCGTTGAAATCTTTACTATTCACACCTATGAGGGACAGGCAGGCTTTAAGGTAAGAAATAAAGGTATGACGCATTAAAGGCTTGGACTTAAATAAGTCCTCGATGAACAAAGGGCAAGTAGGAGTTGCCCCGAGAGAATGTCTGACCTTTAAATAATTTACCATAGTCAACACAGGATGTAAAACCTCATTATCAAAAATTCTTATGTGAACGCCTTTACCAAAAGGATCCATTTTTGAAGAACGTAAATACAAAATGAAACTGGACTTATCTGGTAGAACATGGACATCACTAAGACGAAGGTATGATTGGTCACCGAGTTTCCTACAGGTAAATTCTCCACATCTCAAAAAACCATAAAAAGCTGTTTGAAAAATACAGCATAGCATTTTTTGACAAATGGTTCAAACAATCCTTGACTACTAGAAATAGTTATACACATATGATTAAGCAACTTAAAGGTTATAGGCAATCGCTTATTGGAAAAATTAACCTGAGTTCTTTTAATGCCCCGCAAGATGTAATTTAACCGCATGGTGTTTGCGAGAGGGTCCCCCAAGTTTAACTTGATGTAATGAAACCTTATGCCAGCTAAATAGAGTTTAATAGTGTCGAACTTCAAGCATAAAGCTTCCTGGCAGTATGTCACAAAAAATATAAGTAAATCTTCATCAACAATGGGAAGGGAATTAGCAGCACATGCAATTCCCCTCATAACCAGAAATGTCACAAAACAGTTCAAACCGGACTTGTAAGTAGCCAGAGTCTTCTCACTAAGGGCATGGTTCCATAAACTATCAACCGCTGTATTCAGCTCATCATCAATGAGGCCATAGGCAGACATGGAATTGGTAGTACATCTGCTTGAGGTGCCAGCTGTCTGAATTTGCACATCTGAAAACGAGAGATGGCGTCTGCAATGTTGTTTTGCTTACCAGGTACATGGACTGCATGAATCACAAAGTTATGCACGGCAGAATAGTATGTAAGTTTTCGCATAAGACACATAATGCTGGACACTTTGGATCTCCCTTTGCAGATTATGTCTACCGTAGCTAAATTATCACAATGAAAAAGAATACGTTTTTTATGCCACTGGTGACCCCACAACACACAAGCCATAACAATAGGGTATAGCTCAAAGAGGGCCATAGATGTGTCCATGGCTTTAAGTTCACTAGGAAAAAAACCTTGAAACCACTGGTTAAGGTAGATTCCCCCGAAAGATTCAGATGTAGCATCGGTAAAAAGATGGAGGTCAGCTGCTGATGTGATATGATCATCCAGAAAAAAGGATTTGCCATTCCAATTCTTCAAAAAGAACGACCACATGTAAAGGTCTGATCGACACTCATTGCTGATTTTCACATGATGATGTAGCTCGCGCACTGTAGTAGAAAGCGATATGAGATGAGAGACAAAAGAACGCCCCGGTCTAATACACCGACCGGCAAAGTTCATGTGACCTAGCAAGCTGAGCAACTCGCGTTTGGTACAAGACTTTTTTCTCTTGAAAGAATCCAAAAACTCAATAATTCTTTCCACTTTTTCACGTGGAAGACGACATTCCCTCAGATGAGAGTCTAGGGACACACCAAGGTATTCGAGTGATGTACAAGGGCCTACAGTTTTATGCGCACCTACAGGGATGCCTAATTCCTTGAACATAGACATAAAACGTTCCATAGTAAGAGATGCATTGACATAAGCTGGTTCAATAACTATGAAATCATCTAGCAAGTGAAGAATGTTACGAATATTGTACTTGTTCTTAGCTATCCAACAAACTGCCCGAGAAAGGCTATCGAAAATTTTTGGGCTTGAACGACATCCAAATACGAGGCGCGTAAAGAAATAATATTTGTTGTTCCACTTGACGCCGTGGTAAGGCCACAAAACGGGATCAATTGGTATCAGCTTGAAGGCATCAGTGATATCGGTCTTCATTAGCCATGCATCGAGGCCACAGCGCTTAATAAGATGTATAGCATCATCTACTGTAACATACTTCAGCGAGCAAGTTAATTTATCAATTAGACTATTTAGGCTAGGATTGTTTGTGTCTTGATGTGGAGCGGATAAATCAACAATTAAACGCTTTTTCTTCGAATATTTATGTTCAGCTAAGCCTAACGGGTTGATGCGGTACCTGGAATAGGGAATATTGTCAAAAGGACCTATTAAGTATCCTTTATTTAGTTCTTTCTCCAACAACTCTGAAACACTTCCTGGGTCACTGATAGCTGACCTCAAGTTTTTACACACTATGGAGTTAATAGGAAGGTGTTGTAGACCAGTGTCAAAGCCGTGAGTTAGACCATGCATTAACTTATTAACAAATTGCTGATCAGGGTGTCCTTGAAGTTTGGAATGTAAAGCCTCAACACATATTGGGGTAGAAGCTGTCATAGGATCATGGTGATGGAGGGCTAAGATGTCTTCTTTTGAGGCTGACGGCTCTCTAAAGGGCAGGCTACTTTTGTGTGGCTTGCCTTACAGGTTAGACAGATGTGAAGGTTATTGCAAAGATTGGAAGAACAACCAAATCTACCATTGAAATTGTTACAAATCTCTCGCCCCTCAAAAACAACTCTGGGTCTGCCTTTTGAGTCAGAAGCCATAGACACTTGCCCTTTATTTTGACGAAACTGGCTGTTCCCAGAGAAACCACTGCTACTCTGTCGCTTATCCTGGCCTGGGTTGGGGCAAAATTTTGTAGTATGTGCAGTGCTACCACACATTGAACACGAAACTGGAACTAAATTGGCAAATATGTTGCAGAACAAGGTATTATCCCGAACGGACCAATCTATTTTCCGGTTATTGAAACGTAAATGGGCTGCTGCCTTCAACGAAAACTGTCGATGATATTCATAGAACCCGGAGCTGTATCTGGTTCCCATGTCTACGATATCTCGCTCGTACATGTCAAGCTCAACTCGGCGATGTGGGTGAGTGGAACACATGACTTGTTTATAAACGCTAAAAGCTAAAATGAATTCGCTTAGAGTAAGAGTTCTGTTGAGCCTAGCGTCCTGTTTCTCGTTAATACCTAAGCTTGAGTCACTTTGACCACTGTAGTACGGAATAAGGATAGCAGCCAAATTAACATCTTTCCCGGTTATAATCTGTTGGCGCAATGAGGGAGATATTGTTTCTACTAGCGGTAAGGATTCGGAGGTGTACCCATATTGGGTACGCTTATAGGAGAAAATACCTGCTGAATCGCCGGAAGGAATACTTTCCTCTTGAAGTTTCCGATACGCACTGTCCAGTGTAAATTCTTCTGTGACCGCCGCCAATGTCGAACCGGGATGCATCAACGGCGAATTGGCTACATGGGTGGTAGGAGTCGGGGCTCGGATACCATCAGTCGCCATTTGACGAGAACTACCTGCAGCGGCAGCAGAAGTAGGTTGCACAGATCTAGACTGAGTGAGCGTGAGTACGCTATTCTCCAACCTGCAATAACAGTTCTGGAGAGTGTTAACACTGTCTGCTAAGCTGGAAATCATGTTTCGTAAGCTGGTAGAATCTGCCCGTTCCGGACTTCCGGTCTGGCGGCCATCTTGTCTCGGAGCATCATGGGATGCAATCGCGTCGCTCGGGGCATGCTGGGATACCGCACCTCTCAGGGCCGCTTGTGCCTCCTTCAATTTTTTAACAAGTTCCATACGCTTAGAACAACTCCGGTAGGGCACATTCAATAAATGAAGTTCTTGTTGTAATCGAGCGATTGTCCAATTTTCTACAAATTCCGGATCGTAAGGAACTGTTCTGTTAGATTTACGCCCACGTTTCGTAGCCATCATTGAACAATGGAACCGACCCTCACCTCTGACACGGAAGTTCTTCAACACTAATAGTTGTGAGGTGGTTGTTTATGATACTCCTATTAATCCAGGCGCAGGTAAATACACCAGATCGGGAATTGTCACACAACACAGCTCACGACAGCGAATGGTAGTACAAAGTATTGACACTGGAATTGTCGATGGAAAATCCAAAATGGCGAATGATCGGAGTATCCGACTGATAGATAAGAAATCCTAAAAAGGGAGAACAGTAACAAGTTCAGCGCTTCTGAAATCACGCAACGTTAAACTCACAACTGCATAAAGATCGTATGCGCAAACTTGGCCACAAAAGTGAAGTAATAGCTTTTCAATAGGTAAAATTTAAGGCACAAAATAAAATGCTCCTCGTTCTCCTCAACGCTGAAAAACTTAATGGAACCAATACCAATACCCCTCTAAAGAGTAATTGATGATTGGTTAAAGATAAGGAAAAACACTCATTAGCATACTAATTTGCATAAAGATACGACACATAAATGAACAAACAGAAATAAGATAAATTACGATTGAAACAGGAAGCTAAAGAAGGAAAACAGTTTCTTGCATAAACTCAAATTTAATAAAATATTAAATTTTACATTACATAACAGTCAGGGTGACCTAGATTTCGATTCAGGTTTTCCGTAATGTGTTAAGATTGATTGTCAAAAACTGGGGCAATACTTATCATTGTGTCTGGTAAGTAATGATTTGCAGGCTACATAACACTGGAGCATGTTTACAAGCACACCACAGAATAATCCATGCTATTTCACGCAGGGTAATCACATACTTCTACGGGAGTCCATCTTGAAAAAATTGTTTGCTACTCAAAAGTCACAGTGACCTATATTTTGATCCCTTTCTTTCATAACGTGATTTTACTTACTAAACGTGATAGTGCTAAATTGATCTCCGTGATATGTGGACAAGGGACGTTTATTTACTGATATCAGTACATGGGGCACTTCTTAGAGTTGCTAAGGTAGAAAGTGGAATCGGTACCAAAGAAACTTCGGAATCTCATCTGGTTTTATCTAGAATGATGCTGAGTGCAGCGTTTTGTGACCGATGCATGACTATCTTCCACGCTCGATATTAGGCGAAACGAAAGAGACAAGAGTAAATCTGAAAATAATCTCAAATTTAATTAAATAGGGGCGTCCAAATTAAAAAAAAAAAAAATATATATATATATATATATTTCTGACTCGTTACATACAGCAAGACTGTGACGAATGACACACGCTTGTAAGATGAATCAGCGAATAGATGTACCTTAGAATGTGTTGTATTAGCAACAACAAATATTCTTCAGTCTGAAAGAAATTCCTAACTATTCAATTTGGGTTTTTCTTAGTAATTTCCTAGGCTCTAAGTTACGGCCCTTAGCATCAATGACGAAACCTAGAAGGACGAAACAGCTGTATGATGTAACATCACTGACAAGTCCTAGAAGGACGAAACATCTGTAGGATGTAGCATCACTGACGAGTCCTAGAAGGACGAAACAGCTGTATGATGTAACATCACTGACGATTCCTAGAAGGACGAAACAGCTGTATGATGTAACATCACTGACGATTCCTAGAAGGACGAAACAGCTATATGATGTAACATCACTGACGAGTCCTAGAAGGACGAAACAGCTGTATGATGTAACATCACTGACGAGTCCTAGAAGGACGAAACAGCTATATGATGTAACATCACTGACGAGTCCTAGAAGGACGAAACAGCTGTATGATGTAACATCACTGACGAGTCCTAGAAGGACGAAACAGCTGTATGATGTAACATCACTGACGAGTCCTAGAAGGACGAAACAACTGTATCATGCAGTTTATTTGACTCTACTCTATCTTGATTTGCACTAAAAAGTGTTAACATTTGGATGTCTTGGGTAGACACTGTTTATGGACTTACGTCCCCAACGTTGTCCGTGATCTGTCTGCCACTTTTTAATTTATTCAAATAGTGGCACGGTTCAGAATATACACGTGTATTTTACGTTGTTCTAAAATTACCAGATGTATGAAAATTACGAAATTAATTGAATTATGGGGCTAGTGCACATCCTCATCTGGAATTTTCTTTTCTTTCGATCACTTTGGATTTACCTCAGCCGCCTCAGTGGCCTCGAAATAAAGCCTCTTGGCATCAATGACGAGTCTTAGAAGGTCCAAACAACTGTAGGATGCAGTTTAATGCATTACTTGGTCCTAATGTATCTAGATGTAGTTCTAAATTTGCAATAATGGAGGTTTTTCACTTATGTGACTTTTGTACAGTCTTTACACATGTACCTATGTCTGTAGTTGATCTTGGTGACTTTTAAGTGTACATGGAAATATTATAGTATGCTTAAATTTGAAATTTGAAAAAAGATTTTTGCAATATAGCGATAAAAAAAGTTACACTCGTTGAAATAAAGTGATAATAAGGTTACACTCTTTGGAATATAGTGATAATAAGGTTGCACTCTTTGGAATATAGTGATAATAAGGTTACACTCTTTGGAATATAGTGATAATAAGGTTACACTCTTTGGAATATAGTGATAATAAGGTTACACTGACTGGAATATAGTGATAATAAGGTTACACTCTTTGGAATATAGTGATAATAAGGTTACACTCTTTGGAATATAGTGATAAAAAAGTTACACTCGTTGAAATAAAATGATAATAAGGTTGCACTCTTTGGAATATAGTGATAATAAGGTTACACTGACTGGAATATAGTGATAATAAGGTTACACTCTTTGGAATATAGTGATAATAAGGTTACACTCTTTGGAATATAGCGATAATAAGGTTACACTCTTTGGAATATAGCGATAATAAGGTTACACTCTTTGGAATATAGTGATAATAAGGTTACACTCTTTGGAATAAAGTGATAAAAAAGTTACACTCGTTGAAATAAAATGATAATAAGGTTACACTCTTTGGAATATAGTGATAATAAGGTTACACTCTTTGGAATATAGCGAAAATAAGGTTGCACTCATTGGAATATAGCGAAAATAAGGTTACACTCATTGGAATATAGTGATAATAAGGTTACACTCTTTGGAATATAGTGATAATAAGGTTACATTCTTTGGAATATAGTGATGATAAGGTTACACTCTTTGGAATACAGTGATAATTAGGTTAAACTCTTTGGAATATAGTGATAATAAGGTTACACTCTTTTGAATATAGTGATAATAAGGTTACACTGACTGGAATATAGTGATAATAAGGTTACACTCTTTGGAATATAGTGAAAATAAGGTTGCACTCATTGGAATATAGCGAAAATAAGGTTGCACTCATTGGAATATAGCGAAAATAAGGTTACACTCTTTGGAATATAGCGATAATAAGGTTAAGGTTACACTCTTTGGAATATAGCGAAAATAAGGTTACACTCTTTGGAATATAGCGATAATAAGGTTGCACTCATTGGAATATAGCGAAAATAAGGTTGCACTCATTGGAATATAGCGAAAATAAGGTTACACTCATTGGAATATAGTGATAATAAGGTTACACTCTTTGGAATATAGCGAAAATAAGGTTGCACTCATTGGAATACAGTGATAATAAGGTTTCACTCTTTGGAATATAGTGATAATAAGGTTACACTCATTGGAATATAGCGATAATAAGGTTACACTCTTTGAAATATAGTGATAATAAGGTTAAACTCTTTGGAATATAGTGATAATTAGGTTACACTCTTTGGAATATAGTGATAATAAGGTTACACTCATTGGAATATAGCGATAATAAGGTTACACTCTTTGGAATATAGTGATAATAAGGTTACACTCTTTGGAATAAAGTGATAATATTTTTACACTCTTTGAAATATAGTGATAATAAGGTTACATTCACTGTTTATCTTGCTATATGAAGCTGTAGCAAGACTGTGTTAAATACATGTAAGATGTACTTGTAAAGGTGGAATCTGTTATAAAGATATTATTTCAGGATCGATGGCAGAGCGAACAAAACTGGAGGCGTATTTGGTTTTCTCTATGGTGAACACCATTTTTTTATTCTCTTTCCCCGCTCACTGGATGTGGGCCTCTAACGGCTGGCTAAGGAACATGGGCGCGGTCGACATTGCAGGGGCGGGGCCTGTTCACATTGTGGGCGGGATCACCGGTCTCGTGGCGACACTGATGTTGAAGCCGCGTCACAACAGATTCACTACTCCTGAAAAGGTGACTTTGATGGGATCCCCGACAAACGCCATCCTTGGGATGTTCATGCTTTGGTAGGTTTTGTTTAATATATAAGTATATTTTTGGAAATGAATTCCCGACTTAATGCAGAAAGCAGAAATAGTTTGGTTAAAAATCAACAGTTGAATGTATTTTCAATGGTATTATCCAGATCTAGCTCCTAGATTGTTGTAGGGGAGCAGGGAGTGTATTCTTATTAATCAATTATTCAAGAAACGAGCTTTGTTTGCTGAATATCTGCGATTAGCCTACGTTTAAATCCGTGTAACTACAGGTGCGAGCAGTTTCCGGCCTATTGGATAGCTCAACTTGTACTTAACTAGTCACCTACAATTTGCGAGAGGATGCGATCGATAATGTTTAATTTTAAAGTAAAATGTGAACGCAGAGCACAAGGAGAAAAGCAAGATGATAAAAATGTGTCAGTAAAATCTTTGATTTAATAATTTAAACCATTTAGGACGAATGACACTAAAAGAATTAATTGAATTTTCAACCTAGACGGTCTGGAAATGTAAACGTCCTCTGGTTCTTCGTCAAAACAGGCCATTTAATGTTTTGTAAATCCAAATTAAGTTCTGCACATGCGATCAGGGTATTTATATATAAAATGGTCATACAACTTCTCAATCATTTTCCTCATCCTTCACATAAGTATACTTTACAGAATTTATATAACATTTGCCTTACACTCAGTCTGTCTCCCTTCACGCTTCACTTCTAGAATGACGTTGATGTAATAGAGATTTTAATAAAGCGTGTGTTTGCCTAGGTGGGGATGGCTCGGGTTCAACTGCGGCAGTACGTTTGGTATATCAGGTGTCAAATGGATGTTGGCGGCGAGGTAAGTGCTGACGAGGCCGACAAGCTCAGCATTATCACTTCCGGCTGGGAAACAAAATAGGTTGCACCCAGACAAGTATTTCTGTGATAACTTTCTGATTTATTGTCCACACATGTCACTGACATACGATCGTAATTCTAGTATATGGCGTTCTATATTGTCGTGTTTGATTACGTCATCGATTGTTTTAGTAATTAGGTACAATTCATGTATGTAGGGATTAAACTAGAGTTTAAATCCAAGCGCATGCAGTTTATAATTACACCAACACTAGTGTTTTATGGTCTAAATTGATGTTACAAATTGGGTTGTTTAATCTGATATTTGATATATTGTTATAATTACGATACTCACAAACGTCATTCGCAGTACAACCTTAGATAATATGTAACAGTAATTAATATACGTGGGTGAATTAGTTCAACTCTATTCAGAAATATAACATTTCAAATTTGTAAAATAGCTACTGTAAAGTCACTTTAGATATCAACACTCCTGGAAACACCCGAGAGACCTCGGCAGTACACACAGCTAATTTTAATATTTCTTGCTCCTTTTTATCTCACTAATCCTGTATCTTATCTTAAAGCTATACACCTTGTAAGTCCCAATAAAACCAGGTTTGTTTGATTACATTTATCTATCAGTAACAATAACATTCCCCTCACGATGAACAATTCAGCTATATTTTTCTCGGCATAAGATAAATGATACTTTCTCATTTTTTAGATCGGCTGTTTCGACCATTACTGCATCTGTAGCAGGAGGGACCGTCGGGTTAATAATGAGGTAAGGGTCCTTTAGGAACACGTCAACTCACATCCGGTTTGTTGTCATGTTTATATATATTATACACATATTGTATGTAAGTGATGTATTTCTATTACATATTATATACATACAAATGATTTTTTTTCAGCTACGTTATGAAACAGCGTCGATTCGACATATCTTACCTGATCAACGGTGTGCTTGGTTCCCTGGTGGGTATAACCGGTAAGTATTACATACTGTGTTTGGTTCCCTGGCGGGTATAACCGGTAAGTATTACATACTGTGCTTGGTTCCCTGGCGGGTATAACAGGTAAGTATTACATACTGTGTTTGGTTCCCTGGCGGGTATAACCGGTAAGTATTACATACTGTGTTTGGTTCCCTGGCGGGTATAACAGGTAAGTATTACATACTGTGTTTGGTTCCCTGGCGGGTATAACCGGTAAGTATTACATACTGTGTTTGGTTCCCTGGCGGGTATAACCGGTAAGTATTACATACTGTGTTTGGTTCCCTGGCGGGTATAACCGGTAAGTATTACATACTGTGCTTGGTTCCCTGGTGGGTATAACCGGTAAGTATTACATACTGTGCTTGGTTCCCTGGTGGGTATAACCGGTAAGTATTACATACTGTGTTTGGTTCCCTGGTGGGTATAACCGGTAAGTATTACATACTGTGCTTGGTTCCCTGGTGGGTATAACCGGTAAGTATTACATACTGTGCTTGGTTCCCTGGTGGGTATAACCGGTAAGTATTACATACTGTGCTTGGTTCCCTGGTGGGTATAACCGGTAAGTATTACATACTGTGTTGGGTTCCATAGTGGAGAGCGAATTGAAATTAAAATGAAATCGTGGAAAAAGATACCTTGAAAATGAAAATATAAAATCATGTTGATCGTCTGTTTCATGACCTCCGAGAAAAAATTAATCATTTTTGCAAGAATCTTTTGTCTAAGCTGTAAAATTTTAACTATCAGAAATTCAAAATAAGTGATAATGATTTTATACCGTGCATAGGTTTCTTTGTAGTATCGCCAGGAATAGAAAGAACTGTTTGATTGTTATTGCGATATTTGTAATGATAGTCTTCACAATAATTCTCTAGTCTATATTACAGTCTACGTTGTTAAATTGGTCAAGTGATAGCAACCCGTGTCCCTGTGTTATAGCCAACTGTGCCATGGCCGAGCCCTGGGAAGGACTAGTGATCGGATTTATAGGGGCACTAATTACCAACCTCACTGTGGAGCTCTTCACTAAACTCGGGATAGACGATCCTGTCGGTACGTCACTATCACTAATATGTGTAGGACTCCTTTTTTTTCTGTCGGCAGTAAAGATAATTTACTTTCTATCTTCGCGAATCTTAGTTTGGTCAGCAGAAGTTAACCAAACAACTTGAAGAAATATATCGATGGAATATGAATCTCTTGTTTGATAATTAAGATTTCAACATGTCATCTGAGATTTGGTCTCAGTTTGTCCTTTTGTTAAGCGCCATGTTTTCGTAAACGTTTTGCATTTTGGCCTTCTTAAAAATGCAGAACCCCTCCATGGCCATCGGTGAGCCAAAGGAATGAATAGGGGTTAAATTGACTCCAATCAAAAGTTATCTTCTCAACACCAAGATATAGTAGAATAAAATACCTGCTTCTTTATTGGAAAGGCCTTAAGCTGCTTTGCCAAAATTGTGAATTCGATAAACTCAGTTTATGTAGAAAAGTTATTTCCATTGATCATATTTATAACTTTGTAAGAATTGTAAGTATATGATGACTGTTTGGTGATATACACATATTAATCCTGGCTGACCCCAAGACGGGCGGGGCCAAAAGGGGTCATATTGACTCCAAATTCAAAATGTTTCTTCTGAATACCAATATATATTATAATCATATACGCTTAATGGATAGAATAGCCCTAAGCTGCTTTACCAAACTTGTGAATTTGATGACCTTATGGTCTCACATTTCCACAGGGGAGTGGGTAACGTTTGCTGTAGTTTATTTCAGCAAACCATAAGTTTGAATGCAATTTCCCTTCATTTAAACTTATAACCCGTAACATGGGATGAAAATTAATGTTGTATACTGATTACATTTGCATTATGTGTCAAGTTATCTTACGTTGTTAATGAAATGATTTTATGACATATGTTACAAAAACATAGACAGCATTTACAGACCTTAGCTTACAGTTAAGGCCCATTGGGCCTTTTATAGTACAAATCGTCTTATTTATTTCGGCCTTTCAGTGAACGAGAAAAGATAAAAAAAAATGAGTAGAGAGGACATATACTGGGTACAAAAAGGGATCACGTTTAAAAAAATAGTTTTTTTATCAAAAAGCCAAATCTTTTTGGAATATGCAAGTGTGAAGTGAAACAACAAGAGAACAACACCCAATTTGAATCAATTTCATTTAAGCATTGTGTGTATGATTACATAAAAAAATAATAACAGCACGACATCGGCTTGGTATGCTGCGAATTAGGCGCCGTGGAGCCATTTCTCGAATTCGTTGTCATTATTGACGAAGAGCATCAACATGCTCCTGTCAGCTACCGGGTGCAACACTAGATCAGTCCATACTCTCGATAGCTTCTGCTTGAAGGTACTCCTTCTTAAGTCTAGCATTATGTGGTGGAGCATTTTCGTCCATCAGTACAGACTCAGGGCCGACAGCACCTGTAACGGGTCTTACAGCAGGATGAAGGATTTCATCCCGGTACCGTAACCTGTGAAGCTATCACCTTCAGTCTCGTATATAAGTCAGTTCGACCAACAAAACTTACCCCTGCCCGAACCATTACCAAGTCCCCACCGAAACGGTCAAGTTCTGTGACGCAGCAGTCAGCATACAAATGTACCTCTCACCCAACCCATGCCAAACTCACCTCCTGCCATCATCAAAGTCTACACAAAACCTGAACATTTGTAAAAATGAATAGGCCACCCTGACAATATGGATTGCCGGGTTCCTGGACGATAAGGAATGACGGGTTCTTGGACGATAAGGTTTCCGGGTTCCTGGACGATATGGGTTGCCGGGTTCCTGGACGATAAGGGTTGCCGGGTTCCTGGACGATAAGGAATGACGGGTTCTTGGACGATAAGGTTTCCGGGTTCCTGGACGATAAGGGTTGCCGGGTTCCTGGACAGTAATGGTTGCACGGTTCCTGGACGATAAGGGTTGCAGGGTTCCTGAACAATAAGGATTGCAGGGTTCCTGGACGATAAGGGTTGCCGGGTTCCTGGACAGTAATGGTTGCAGGCTTCCTGGACAGTAAGGGTTGCTGGGTTCCTGGACGTTAAGGGTTGCCGGGTTCCTGGACAGTAATGGTTGCACGGTTCCTGGACGATAAGGTTTGCCGGGTTCCTGGACGTTAAGGGTTGCAGGGTTACTGGATGATAAGGGTGTCTAGGTTTCTAGGGTCTCAAAGCTCATTGTTAATGAGGGTTTCTGGGTTCTTGACCTATTATGGTCCAGGGTTCCCGTCTTTTTAAGATATCCAGGTTCGTAAGTGAATAGGGTTTTCGACTTTTTGACTGATTGCGGTCTTCGAGTCCCGGCTGTATAGGGTCTTCGGCTCTGTGTTAGGTTACTGGGTTGATGTTACTTCCTGTTGTTATTACAAGGTTGCCCCATCTGGATTGGTAACTTAGTAATGACCATTCATGGTCTGTTATGCAGTCAGCACTAGTATGTGTGACCTACTCTTTGTGATATTATTGTTACGTTATGGTCTTACACATTTCGCTTGCAATGTCCGAATGGTGATCACGCAAGCTGTACACAACGAAGGGAGATAACTCTTCATCGTTTCAGGTAAAAGAGATACGTAAGAGGAGATAACTTCTAAGCATTGCTGCAGTGTTTCCGTGATAAAGCTATGGTCATGCACATTGATAAAGAACTGTATTAATTTGTCCGCTTTCCTTCTTTGACAGGATGTGTAGGTACGCACGCATGCGCAGGAGTGTGGAGTCTCATGTCCGTTGGTCTCGTTACGAAGTCGGATAACTTAACGGACGCCATGCAGATAGAAAACGTTGGTCAGGGATTGTTCCATGTGAGTGTTCGGGACCGGTAACATCCCTGTATCTCTGTATCTTATACTGTAACGATCTAATGTCGTTAGCGATAAGACACCGGTTACCAATTTTACTGTGATATCTTAATGACAATTTCTTAATTATATAAAACGTTGCAACTACATGTACATACGTTGATGACGTGTTCATTTTTTCTCCAGGGAGGTGGATTTCATCAGCTTGGGATACAGGCCCTAGCCGCTTTAACCATCATCGTCTGGACATTGATAAACGCGTTCTTTTGGTTAAAGTTGATTGATTTGACCATTGGTATCCGCGTGCCCCTGGAGGAGGAGATACTTGGGGCTGACATAGTGGAGCATGCAGTAGGAGGCGTCATCTACAGCAAGAAAGAGAGGAGAGTTCTATACTCTCCAGGCGTCGACTCGGACCTGCCCCTTACAGAAAATGTTCAGGACATGAGTACCGAGAGACAAATGAGCCGACATCATAGCCTCGGTCTCCGTGTTGGTCTATGGCGGAGTAGATACGAATGCGCTAGTGATCTCAAGAAAAAGAAGATAAAAACACGTGTTAGTTTCCCGAAATTATTTCAGCGCTTGGAACGTGATGTAAATCAGAATGGAAATATTTCTGGAGATACAAGTTCTACTGATATTTACAGTGTGGATGGTAATGTTTGTTTTAGGATGAAAAACGCTTTACAGTCGTACTCAAATAATGGTGGTGAGGGAATGTTTACGAATCCTGTGTTTACACCTGATAACAAAACGGAACTGGACCTTGATAAGGGGGGTAACTCTGAATGTAACAGTTTAATAGCACCACATAAAGTTATGACATATTTATAGCGATACAAAGTGTGTGGACTTTGTCTAACTGTAACTATATTGTTGTGAGAAATTACAGGACACGAAAATACACTCGATGCGCTAGGGACGTGTTATATAAGATATACGTGTGGTTTACAATATACCGTAATGTAAAACGTGTAGTACGGCTGTTTGTTTTTGTTTTTTTTTTCAAAAGTGGGTAACGGCACACACACAGAATCATTTTATATGTTACCGAAAAGTTGAACACTGAAATCATGCCTGCCTATTTGGACAGTATCAGATATAACCATAGATTTACCTGTTATCTGTGTTTACCTATACCAACGTAAGGACAATCGAGATCGAGTATGAGGAGGATCGGCAAAGTCGCTTAATGTTTATGAAAGCATCATAACCATCTGTTAGTTGGATTAGTAGTGTCTTTCTCTTGTTTCGCCTGCAATGAAAATATCTATCCTTTCAGCAATATTCACATTTCCGCTTTGTTTTCTCTATTTGACCTGACCAACAGAAGCAATGTGTACTTTTCGGTAAGCGTCAACCCTGACAATCTTTCCTGCCATGTTGGAATCAGATATCGGTAATCGTCAACCCTGACATTCTTTCCTGCCAAGTTGGAATCAGATATCGGTAATCGTCAACCCTGACAACCTTTCCTGTCAAGTTGGAATCAGATATCGGTAAGCGTCAACCTTGACAACCTTTCCTGTCAAGTTGGAATCAGATAACGGTAGCGTCAACCCTGACATTCTTTCCTGCCAAGTTGGAATCAGATATCGGTAGCGTCAACCCTGACAACCTTTCCTGCCAAGTTGGAATCAGATATCGGTAATCGTCAACCCTGACAACCTTCCCTGTCAAGTTGGAATCAGATATCGGTAATTGTCAACCCTGACATTCTTTCCTGCCAAGTTGGAATCAGATATCGGTAGCGTCAACCCTGACAACCTTCCCTGTCAAGTTGGAATCAGATATCGGTAGCGTCAACCCTGACAACCTTTCCTGCCAAGTTGGAATCAGATATCGGTAGCGTCAACCCTGACAACCTTTCCTGCCAAGTTGGAATCAGATATCGGTAATCGTCAACCCTGACAACCTTTCCTGCCAAGTTGGAATCAGATATCGGTAAGCGTCAAACCTGACAACCTTCCCTGTCAAGTTGGAATCAGATATCGGTAATCGTCAACCCTGACAACCTTTCCTGCCAAGTTGGAATCAGATATCGGTAGCGTCAACCCTGACAACCTTCCCTGTCAAGTTGGAATCAGATATCGGTAATCGTCAACCCTGACAACCTTTCCTGCCAAGTTGGAATCAGATATCGGTAAGCGTCAAACCTGACAACCTTCCCTGTCAAGTTGGAATCAGATATCGGTAATCGTCAACCCTGACAACCTTTCCTGCCAAGTTGGAATCAGATATCGGTAGCGTCAACCCTGACAACCTTCCCTGTCAAGTTGGAATCAGATATCGGTAATCGTCAACCCTGACAACCTTTCCTGCCAAGTTGGAATCACATATCGGTAAGCGTCAAACCTGACAACCTTCCCTGTCAAGTTGGAATCAGATATCGGTAATCGTCAACCCTGACAACCTTTCCTGCCAAGTTGGAATCAGCTATTTTCCATCAGATTATTGTTCTATTCTAATTAAATAAAAATATTATCTATCAAAAGATTAATATGAAAAAGACTTCTTTTTACTGGTGTATCAACACGACGCGCGTAAAATGATTTCTTATGAGTGGCACAGTGTATATATAAGTCATCCGCTAAATAATAATGTATGGACATATTACAAAATAAAACTCAACATATCTCTTAATTCACAACAATGACATAGATATCAAAATAAATAAAATTTAATTGTCTTTTTTACAGCTCACAGACATGTTAAATCACATCGGCTTTAATCAAAGCATAGCCACGGTGTCATGTAAATTATATAACATATAAAGCAGTCTGTTGACTTTACAGTGCACCAAGCAACATCATACATCAACGAATGACATTCAGCATTATAAGATATGGCTGTGAATACACGAAATTAAACGAGCAATAAAACTAGATACTAGTTACTGGTAACATCAGTAAAACAATCTTCTCCTCTAGATCAAACGCATGCTTTATAAATATCGGCGTGAATTTGAAATAAAAGAGAAAGGAAAAATAGCAATCTACAAGCAGTTTCATGATTCATGTCTAATTACCTAATCGTAATGAGCGTATCTTTATCATTAAGATATTGAAACTATTCAAGTCAATGAAATTCAGAGTTAATGTATTCAACAGTATATAATATGTCTGTACATCATCACACTGAGATCACAAGATATGTCTGTCGTAAATCTGGCTTGTAAGTACAGAAGAACACAAACGATCAATTACCATATTTAATTTCCTTCGAGATGGCTTTCAATCGTCATTTTTTTATTAATGTCAGTGCTATTTATGGCGAAGACAGAAATCGTGTTTATCATAGACGTTCGAAAAATTGGTATCACATTGTATATAGTTGTTTTTCTATAATCCAAAAGCTTTTTCTAACTTGAATTTGAATACAATGTGTATTTACCAGCATAGGAAGGAAAGTCTGATAATACGAGTTATTGTACAAGTTGTTCGAATATCCTACAATTTACGAAAGGATTACTGTGGTGTACTGCAGTTGTATTGCAATAAACCGCCATCTGTTTTTCCCTTACTTCAGAAATCTTTTACGTCACGTCATTAAATATAGTTTGTCTAATATATACCCGATCAGTTTGAATTTTCCGACGACAATAAGACACCGTCTGCATCAAAGTAACGATTATATCTGCTGGATTTGAGCTTTATCATACTAAACAAATATCTCGCTTCGCCTTGGTCTCTGACATGTTACAAACATATCTGATAAAGTAAGTATATTCCAGTCTAGTTTTGAGTGATTTTACGTGTAACAAAGTAACAAAAACTAATTGATTTTTACACGTTTTAAGGGTAACGTGACATACATTTACCTGTAACATTATTACTCTACTTAACGGGGTTTATGTCCTCTTTTACGGACTTCCGGCCTTTCAGCGGTCAAGATAGGAAAATGAGTGAAGAGGGGAAGTGTGAAGCGATAGAGTAGGGACAGAGATGAGGTAGGGAGGAGCCGTCTATACTAGCCTACCAACAGTTGTGCCTTGTCATTTACTCACTAGTAACACGTGATGTCTGAGGTCTCCTCTCGTCGTTAATTTGTTATTGTTTGTCAATAAATACCTCTAGATCGCTAAGGTAGGATTTCTGTTGCTCGTCGTAAAGACAGTAAGTTTCCGTCCATTTTCTCCAACAAATACACAGTCATCACGATTGTCGCTAAACTATTGCTAACTGACGTGAAGTCGACCTACACAGACTTATCACAGACGGTATGGGCTACAAACATGAAGAAATTTCAAGAAAAAAATCATTCTTTCATTTAACCACACTCAACGATTGTTACTTTACGTGTTTGACAGCCAGATTTTTTTAGCAAGCTCTCATAACATTCAGTGTCAATCTTACTGATTGAAAACATATCAAGATCGTCAATTATCAGCAATCGTGCGAAAGCAATCTTCACTTCACTCACACGTGCACATTTCGGATGCGCAGAACTCGGAGTTACAATTTGTTGCGCACCACGCGTCCATAGCGGCATCCGTCCAGCCGGGAATACCTCTACACCGACTGTTCATTGCTCTATAATTTGGATTCAGTTGTTGAAGAATGTTCATGGGGCACGTGCATCCACACACGGCGGTGGGACAGACACCAGTTGGGCACATGGACTGACACCATTTTCCTATGGCTGGAAGTTTGTTCCAAGACGGAAGTGAAGAACACGTAGGTTTTGTGTACCCGTCCTGGCAGACCTCAAAGTTAGCGTTGTCATTCCCGTCTGGTATATTGTTAGCGTAAGACAATATAGTGGCGGTAAGGGCCCGGGGGTCGGTAGGCAATTTGACGGCGGACGACTGGGAGGTCCGGGAGTACTGTACCTGTGGTCGAGGTTTGGGTGTGGTTGGTGGTGCGGGTTGGGGTTGAACAACTTTCATTGCCATGTTCATGTAACCCATATCGCCGTCGAACATATTTCTGAACATATTCCGCATTCTGTTGGAATAGAGTCCAAATCCTGTGGGGTAAATTTCGTGAGATATTTGTGTAAACATATTTTGAGTAGGTGTCGGTGCTGGTGCCGGTTTTGCCGGTCGCGAGGGGGCGCTATACAAGTCAGCCGAGTTCTTGCTTGAGGATTTGATTTCGTATGACACAGCACTTGATACGTCTGATTTGAGTGACTTGAATCTGACCACAGCCCCTCCTGACGAAGGTCGGGTTAGAGGAAGAGGCGAAGTTTTCGTGGGACTGATTGATACATCGGCACAATTGATAAAATGTTCCTGGGGTCCACAACCAAAACACTCTCCTCCCTTACCATCGGGACCACGGTTTTGAGCTGAAGTAAAAGATGATTATGTGTTTATTATAGCAGTGAATGCAATAGCATATTCAATATTTCTTGTTAAGCGATAATTCAGGATTAAGCGCTTCAAAACAATTCTGAATTGAACCCGACTTATCTCTATGCTATATGTACCATACAAGATGCATGCTCGTTAAATTAACCGTTATCGGGTAGCAATACTCTAGCAAAGAAACTATAACTAGAAAAATGGTCAGAATGTTATTGTGTTCTTTAAAATGAAAATACACACACACAAGTGTTATCGTTATAATTGAATTTAACCCACCCCAACCGTGTCAATGTTTTCTCTGATTCACAAGCTGTTTTCATACCAACTTTCAAACATTAAGACGTTTACAAGTTACCTGCACGCCACTTCCACTGGAGGACACAGTTGGTGCAACTAACGCCCGGGGGTAGTTCCAAAAGTAGGTCAATAAAAACGTTTGAGTCCGGGGCGTCGATATGGTATTTGGTGCCTAACCCCACGATCCTTAACAGATATTGATCAAAACACTGTTGGGTAACACGTAGCTGGCCGTTGTTATTCGGACATAACCGGAACTCGAAGTAACCTTTGTGATTACTGGTAAGCTGGACCGTGACGTTGATAGTCTGACCGGAAGCGTATTGTCTCGTGATCACTCCTACAGAATATTTCCCGCCAGCTTCGTTGTCACGAGGGCCCTGCCAGGGATCACCACAAGGTCCGCAGCGTCCACCTTGACGCATCATATTCTGAAATAAAACAAAAAACAACATAAGACTGGAACTGTTGAAGTAGTCGTGAACTCTTGGCAATTATATGAAACTTCATAACGGCGTATTTTACGTTTTACGTTTGTCTCAGGGTTCGTTTAATACGTCCCTGGTTGGGACGTGTGCAATATCCTTGGTAGGTCTTGCTACAGACAATGAAAACAAGCCAGTGCTATTTTAAGGTGGAAGGAGTGCATATTTCGAGACATTCGTGTCTAATAAACATTTAATAGCTGTGCTGAAAAAGGGGATTTACCAACAGTGTCACTACTGTCGGTGTCCATTACAACACGATGTCACGAGTTCGTGTTTATGACATGAACGGCCTCGCTTTCAAAATTATTACGTAACGTTAGCAGTGCTAAATACAAGTGGATTTTCAGAACTAAAGATGTCCATGAGGGGACTTCTCTCCCCAGAACCAAAGATGTCCTATGAGGTAAGGGGGGATTCCCCCCCCCCATTTTCCTCACGTCGCCTAAAAATCGACTCCATTCGATTGGACAATGCCCGGCGACGGGCAGAGTTACGTAGACGAGAAACCGTCATCATCATCATCAGAACCAAAGAAGTGGTCAAGCTGGACATTGGAAGGCGACACTGAATATCGAGAAACGTAATTACAATCAATAATGAAATATTAATGCTTTTACCGTAATTTCTTTTAAGCCAAACTTTCGTGAAGTGATTTGAGCCTATAGATTGTCTTTTGTTAATGCAGCATGGAAACATTTGAACAGAAAGTGTACCCTAATTAGTAAACAGTTTTCAGTGACAATGTTATTTGGAGTGTGACAAACAAATGAGACCTCCTAGTAGAGCTATATATAATACTGTAATCTAGGTCGCTGGGCAGTGACCTACATGACAACATAAAACCATTGTTGCACAACAGTGGAATGGACGTTTATAAGTTTGTGTGTGCAAAAATCCTTTCTTTTGTGACCCCAAGTTCAAACTCACACATTATTAACATTCACCACGTCCGTCCACACGTCATGTCAGAATGAGTACACCTATATTGTGTGATTATTAACCATACCATGTATAACCACATCCTTTTTGTATATAGATAGTGATAAATATAATGATATACAACAGGAAAGCGTGTCGGTCATTTCCTCCTAACTAGACGTTTCTGCTGGTCAGTAGAGGAAGCTATGGACATACATTAGCCATTACCGTGTTAGTTGCCTATCAATCACAGGTGGTTTTGTACAGATATACCAACACAGAAAGGTGTTGGACGTTTTACCTATAGTGTTATGGCAGGTATAACAAACACCTATGTATACACTGTATAGCGAACACGTAATGCATTTCAATATATAGATATGAAATAAAGTATAAAGTTGCATGATATCAAACAGTATTATCATCACCAAATGTCACCAACAACAATTTACGTATATAGCAAATACTTGTATAAAATGTTTACTCCGGAACATCACTGAGGAGTCCCGAAGTGACGAACCGGCTTAATTCATTACCTGACTCTACTGTACCTAAATCTATAAACAGATGTAATTCACTGATCTATAGCTACAAATAATGATCTCCAATGGACCTGTATTTCACATTCGATTATTTCAACATTAATGATTTGAAGTTCTATGTCAACATTGGGTCTTAATCCTGGTGTTAGATAAGGACTGATGGTTTGGAGTGACAGATTTATATGTGACTCTGTAATAAAAGAGGTGTAAATGATGTGTGTTTACTGTTGGCGTGGGCGGTGTTTGGTATAGGGCATCAGTGCATTCATACGAGTCTATTGTCATAAATTATCGTTAAAAATGTGTTGGATATCGCGCGTTAGAACGTCCACCAGGACACTGCAACGCCCAAAGTGTTTTATCTAATGGCATAAATCATCTGTAAAATGTGTTGAATTCCGCAGCGAAATTATTTTTATTGATATTCCAAATGTCAATGATGACAACAAAGGAAGTTGTTCATTTAAATCCCGTATGGTAATTCTTGTAATGCAGGCAAACTGATATCTATACACAACATTACAGTGTTTATCAGTACACGATCGTTGTATAGTGACAAGTCGGTGTTTACGGTACATGAGTGTTGTATAGTGACAAGTTGGTGTTTACGGTACATGAGTGTTGTATAGTGACAAGTCGGTGTTTATCGGTACATGAGTGTTGTATAGTGACAAGTCGGTGTTTATCGGTACATGAGTGTTGTATAGTGACAAGTCGGTGTTTATCGGTACATGAGTGTTGTATAGTGACAAGTCGGCGTTTATCGGTACATGAGTGTTGTATAGTGACAAGTCGGCGTTTATCGGTACATGAGTGTTGTATAGTGACAAGTCGGTGTTTATCGGTACATGAGTGTTGTATAGTGACAAGTCGGTGTTTATCGGTACATGAGTGTTGTATAGTGACAAGTCGGTGTATATCGGTACATGAGTGTTGTATAGTGACAAGTCGGTGTTTATCGGTACACGATCGTTGTATAGTGACAAGTCGGTGTTTATCGGTACATGAGTGTTGTATAGTGACAAGTCGGTGTTTATCGGTACATGAGTGTTGTATAGTGACAAGTCGGTGTTTATCGGTACATGAGTGTTGTGTAGTGACAAGTCGGTGTTTATCGGTACATGAGTGTTGTATAGTGACAAGTCGGTGTATATCGGTACATGAGTGTTGTATAGTGACAAGTCGGTGTTTATCGGTACATGAGTGTTGTATAGTGACAAGTCGGTGTTTATCGGTACATGAGTGTTGTATAGTGACAAGTCGGTGTTTATCGGTACATGAGTGTTGTATAGTGACAAGTCGGTGTTTATCGGTACATGAGTGTTGTATAGTGACAAGTCGGCGTTTATCGGTACATGAGTGTTGTATAGTGACAAGTCGGCGTTTTTCGGTACATGAGTGTTGTATAGTGACAAGTCGGTGTTTATCGGTACATGAGTGTTGTATAGTGACAAGCCGGTGTATATCGGTACACGATCGTTGTATAGTGACAAGCCGATGTTTACGGTACATGAGTGTTGTATAGTGACAAGTCGGTGTATGTCGGTACATGAGTGTTGTATAGTGACAAGTCGGTGTTTATCGGTACATGAGTGTTGTATAGTGACAAGTCGGTGTTTATCGGTACATGAGTGTTGTATAGTGACAAGTCGGTGTTTATCGGTACACGATCGTTGTATAGTGACAAGTCGGTGTTTATCGGTACATGAGTGTTGTATAGTGACAAGTCGGTGTTTATCGGTACATGAGTGTTGTATAGTGACAAGTCGGTGTTTATCGGTACATGAGTGTTGTATAGTGACAAGTCGGCGTTTATCGGTACATGAGTGTTGTATAGTGACAAGTCGGTGTTTATCGGTACGTGAGTGTTGTGTTTTGCTCTGACATCATTTTTTTTTATATCATTAGAAGAGCATGTGTTTTGTTACACTTAATGCAAAGCCGACGTGTGTTACCTGTCAACTCGTGTGTGTTTTTAAAACTACTTTACATGCGAGAATTTCCGGCTTTTGCAGTGTGAAAGTAATGGCATGTCTGTTCAGTATTCTCATATACGTCTACTTTGATGAACAACTCCAGAAGACACGTACACCACTCCTAACGAAATGATAAAGAATGGAAGTTAGTCAGTGATACTGTACCTGGTGTAATTGTTCTGTGTAGATTTACCTCTGTAATTAGTATCCACGAATGTTTCTCCAATACAACAGAATGTAACTAGGAGAACAACCTGGATTTTGGGGATTGACTGAGGACGTATTGTACCTGGTTTTGATGTTTGAAATCGCTAATACTTTCGGTTTTTGGAACCCTGCTGATATTGAATTATAAACACCCAACAGACTTACATGAATACGACGAGTGTCCATCCATATTACTTGTGGTCATCTAGAAACTTTAAGGTAGACATCGAACAATAACTGGGTTTACTTGTAGTGAAAGTGAGAAAGTTCGAAGTCAGTGAGACACAAAACACCCAATGTCACCCTTCAAAACGAAATCAACTGAACCATTGAAGTGCCTATGGAAGGGAGTTTATAAGGAGTTAGTCGGTGACACGATATCCGGACACAGGAGGAGTCACGGAGACGTTCGTCGGTGAGACGATACCCGGACACGGGAGGAGTCACGGAGACGATTCCCGGACACAGGAGGAGTCACGGCGACGGAAAACCTGTCGGTCAGCCTGTAAGGAAACACTTCAACAGCAGTCCTGTAATCACCAATCCTTTTGTGGAATGGAGACGGGAAAGTTGCTGAAGTAGATCAGATATTGAAAAGGACGTATACAATGTAACAAAGGAAATGGTGGAGAGACAAGTGAATCAGACAATGTACCGGGAAAGTACTGAGTGAAAATGGAAACCGGTCATTTATCAGGCAGAGATGGAGCGATGAACAAAACCGACTACCTACCGGGAAGGGATGGAGCGATGAATGAAACTGACTACCTACAGAACAGAGATGGAGCGATGAATAACACCGACTACCTACCGGGAAGGGATGGAGCGATGAAGGAAACCGACTACCTACCGGACAGGCATGGAGCGATGAATAAAACTGATTACCTACCGGGCAGGGATGGAGCGATGAATGAAACTAATTACTACCGGGCAGGGATGGAGCGATGAATGAAACTAATTACTACCGGGCAGGGATGGAGCGATGAATAAAACCGACTACCTACTGGGCAGGGATGGAGCAATGAATGAAAGTGACTACCTACCGGGCAGGGATGGAGCGATGAATAAAACCGACTACCTACTGGGCAGGGATGGAGCAATGAATGAAAGTGACTACCTACCGGGCAGGGATGGAGCAGTGAATAAAACCGACTACCTACCGGGCAGGGATGGAGCGATGAATGAAACTGATTACCTACTGGGAAAGGATGGAGCAATGAATGAAACCGACTACCTACCGGGCAGGGATGGAGCGATGAATGAAACTGATTACCTACTGGGAAAGGATGGAGCAATGAAT